TATGCATGTATAGCAGATTTGTATTCATGGGTCTATATTATTTTTTTGAATTATTACCATCTGGCAGATGGCACAGGGTGACAAAGTCCAGATGGCACAGGGTGACAAAGTCCACAATGAAACTGAGGCAAACAGACTGAGAGACAGCTTTTATCCTAGAGTTGTAACTATATTGAATGCCATAGCTTCACATTGATGTGGCATTGTGGGCTGTGTGGTGGTGGTGTGTGTATGTGGAGGGATGGATGTGTTGTGTGTTGGGGAAAGCATTTAATTTCATTGTACAATGTAGAATGACAATAAAGCTATTCTATTCTGTTCTATTCTATTCTATGTAGTCACAAATGTAGTGCTACTGTCACATGCACTACTGTCCCTCACAACCTGCTTCACTGGACATTAATAGGCAGAGAAGAGGAGGTCCGTTCTTCAGGCCATTTGGGTATGGGCAGATGATAATTTCACCTCTCCTATCAGCCAGTTAACAATCAAAAGCAGGACCCTTGTTGCATTTTCTTTGTGCAGCCCAGATGGCGAGCAGGAAGTGGATGGAATTGTCATCTGCTCTGTCTCCCCGTGCAGCCAATGCCCAGAAGTTAGGGAGAACTGGAGCAGGAGACACTACTTAGTTGTATTAATCTTAAGTTATATTGCTGAAATCAAGAAAAAAAAAAGATATTGGGAGACCGTGCAATGGATACTGATCCAGAGGGATTAAACACTCTGTACAGTTCTTGTACAGAACAAATTCCTGGGCTCTGGATTCTTTAAGACTAAGAACACCAAGCTCTGGTTAATGGATCTTGGTGTTCTAGCTAAATGAAAACAAAACCCAAAAAGCCTTGAAGTCTTCCCACCCCTGCTTAGATGACCTGGTCTTTGCAAGTAAGGCTGGGAAAGACTCTTGCCTCAAACTCTGGAGAGTTACTATCCATCTGTGTAGAAACAGTGAGCTAGAGAAATGATTTTCTGACTTTCTTCAAGACAGCTTCCCACATTATCAGATATTTATTTAACATGCTTTGTATCTTACTTTCAAATATGTACTAGCACTTCTGGTGATTTCCTTGAACACTGTGGGAGTTCTAGTGTTTTGTTGTGCCTTATCAAATACCACATACTATAAATTTGAGTAATTTAGAAATAGAACTGCATTTATTAGCATATAAATAGGTGAACAGCATTATTGCTTTAATTGCCTTTGAGAAATACATAGAGTAATAAGGACTTTGGAGCTTTCTGAATCTAGAAAGTGCTTGAATCCACATCAAAATGCAGACCATTTCATTACAAAATACACAAACAAAAGTCCTGAGCCTACAAGTAATGATTCCAATGGAATTTTGATCAGCCCATAATAATTATGTCGTAGCTTTTCTCCTAGTTCTCCAAAGCAACATCACAAAGATTGTGTCTCGTTAATTGTCCAGTTCTGAAATACCTGAAAATCCAATCCAAAAGATTCTTCCAATGCCCATCTGAATCCCTTTAGCTATACATGAGCTAAAAAATTAACCCAGGAGGAATTTTTTGTGCACCGCTACACTGTGGATCAAATCCAAAGCTTTAATGACATCTTCATTTTTTCTGTTTTTTCCTAATATCCTAGCCATCCCGTCACGCGTTTCTGTGGCCCAGTCTATATATATGTTTTGTGTGTGTATATGTGTGTGTGTGTATATATATTTGTGTATATGTGTGTTTGCATTTATGTGTGTGTGTGTGGCTTTGTGCATGCATTGTAACGTATTTTTTGTTTTTGGCTTTTTAAGTCTCTTCTGCTGTGTTTTTCAGTGTTTTTATGAGTGATGGTCACTCATTGCCCTGATAGGTGTATTGTGTCCAAATTTGGTGTCAATTTGTCCAGTGGTTTTTGAGTTACATTAATCCCACAAATGAACAGAGCATTTATATATATATATATATATATATATAGAGAGAGAGAGAGAGAGAGAGAGAGAGAGATTATAGGCTCTAGGCAACACTATACAGCGATTGGTCCACAGATATAAAGCAGATTTTAAAAGTTTAAATGGAACTATTATACACTAATATAGGAGCATAATGCATACTATGGTGTCGTGATTAATAATTGCTCTTTTTCCAATAAAGAAGCAACAAAAAGAAGCAACAATGGAGCTAGATAATTAGGGTAAAGGAAACAATGAACATTAAGATCCTTTTCATTCCACAGAGTTGGAATTATTGTTCATAACTTCCAACCAATTCTTAAGACTTCTGTGTTGTTGGTATCTAGATTGCCCATTTATAAAATAGTTTGGACTGAATTTGGTATTTAGTCTTAAAATTTCTATCCCATACATTTTTGCGTAAGCTTGGGACCAAAGAGCAAATGTAGAATTCCTTAACAAAACATTTCTCATTTAGGTCCATGTAACAACTCACTTAGTCTGACACAGACTTCCAAACTTTTGTTGCATTCAAATTGTGTTTTCTTCACATCAGAACCAACCCAGTCAAGATTGGATACATTTTCTAGTGATCATATTTTTGGAATATTGCTTTACCTTTACTTTTTAGCCTTGATGGATCAGCAAACCTAAGAATAGTAAACGTGGGTGCTTGTTATATAAAGATACTATAAAGGTAATTAGAATGGTTAGAGAAATTTGGAAAGTAAATACATGATGAATGGTATTAAAATTAAACTTAATGAAGCACACAATAAACAGAGCAGCATAATGCCTATGTGGGCATATTCCTCTGATCTCCTAAACAGTTTTGTATCTTCTACACCATAGTTTCTCAAACTGATCCTCCAGGTGTTTTGGCCTTCAGCTTCCACAATTCTTAACAGCTGGAGTTTGAGAAACACTGCTCTACATGAACAAAAGAAGAAGTTGTGTAGGTAGATCTTCCTTGATGCTCTAGGGTGCCAAACATGCCCAAAGGGATGGCATCAAGACCTTCGCTACCCAAAAGTTACAGTTCACACAGAAAGCCACTGCACACAGGAACTTTTTTTGGGCTTGTTTTATAGAGTTAAGATGGGGGGGGGGGGGCAACAGATGAAAACAATTAAATCTGTAAACCATTGAGAGTGTGGGGGTGACTATGTCAGATTACATCAGGGTGTCAGGTTCCGCTGGATCTCAGAATGAAACACACACTCACAAGAACAAATCCTGGAATTGAGGTTTATTCAGTCCATACAGTACAGAGCCAAAGAGAGAACTGAGGTTTCCCGCCAAGCGCCTCCAGATCCCCCTCCTGGCTTCACTCCCCCCTTCTCCCCTTTGCTTATCACAGTTTAGACTACAATTCCTTTCCCACATCTTCAAAGCGAAAGCTTGGCCCAGATGGCCCTACTATAAACTAATCTATCATGCCTACTCCCTCTAGTGTCAGGAGGAAGACTTCTCGGAATTTCTTGGAAACGTGAAGGCACATCCTGACACAGGGTCATTTAAGGAACTTTGGACATGTGCCGACATTTCAGCAGGAATGGTAGGAGAAAGAGGAAAAACTACTAAAACACACATTGTGTAAGCTTCTAATCATTATGGTCAGGAGTTGGATGGTTTGATTAAAGTTCTATGGCTAACTAAAGGAGAAATAGTTTTGTTCCCGAAAAACTTCAAAGCAAGGCGACATCTACTTGCCATTGTTCTCTTCCACCAACACATAGTTATGGAAAAATGGTGTAGATGTGGGACAGACACGCATAACATCTGGTGACTGTCAGAGTCAGGGATGATTACCATAAACAAATATCTCTATCATCTCAAACATACTATACTTTCTAAGAAAGCAGGCGCTGCCTAGTCTGAGGTTGAATGCTGTTACGTAGTATAGCTCAGCCTGTTGTTTTCCGTGCTGTTTGTATGTGCCTTCAAGTCATTCCTGATTTACAGCAACTCAAGGCATACTTATGGAGTTTTCTGGTGCTGAGAATGTGTGACTTGTCCAAGGTCACCCAGTGGGTTCCATGACCAAGTGGGGAACCAAACCCTAGTCTCCAAAGTTGTAGTTCAATGATGAAATCACATCATGCTGGCTCATGTTGTGTTCCTTAGAACTTTTAAAAAACACAGCAATCCTGCACAATGACAACACCCAAGCTTCTCTCTGTTTCAGATTGAGGAAAGATGGAAGAAAGAAAACAGGCACCATCAAAATGGAAAAGAACCTTCCAAATAAGAGCAGTGTTGTTGAACCATCTGGTTTGCATCAGTATTGGCATTTAGAGAAGAAGACTCCAAATGGATTCCACATCAAACAGTACACCCTTCTGTTTCTTGCCTATTTTGAAAGGCTAGAGCGGGGGCGGGGAATAAACTATACAGACTAAGCGCAGAATAACATGTTTTGAATTCTGACCTGTAAAGTTGCTCTGAGAATTGTACTTGGGGATACATAACTAAATGTCCATGGCCTGCAGTGTGACATACAGTAGGCCATGCACTCTGGCCTAAGAGGTATGACAACCTTACATGTTATTTGGTTGGATGAACCATAAGATCTGAGAATTTAAGGCTATATATGCCGAGCTTATTTTCTTTGTTATGTGCCTTCAAATCGACTCTGACATGTGATGACCCTATCATAGGGTTTTCTTGGCAAGATTTGTTATTCTATTCTCTGAATCTAACATACAAAGACTGGTATTTCGGGTAAATCTTTTTTCCAAATCTTTTATAATATATTGATTTTAATCTCTTCTTAAGAACCTGCAGGCAATTTTGCAGGCACAAGAAAAACCTAACTTCCTAAAGGACTTGGAAACTCACACAATTTTTTTCCAGACTGGGCTGAAGAGACTTCTTCCATATTCAAACTCCCGCCACCTACAGAAGCTGACTCGCTTTCAAAAAGTTCTCAATCTCATACATTATTTGGCTATAATAAGCCCAGTTCCAAAGAAGACTTCATTTATTTTGGATGCAATCCTTAGACTCAGGCCCTCTTACAAAGAAAGAGGACTATAGTTAAAGATCTTAATTAAAGGAGTGAAAAACTAAAATCACACATGAAACATATTAACTTGTGAAACTCAATTTTAATTTTATTTTTTGAAGTGTAAATGTCCAATTACAAATAAATAATTCATACAATATAACTGAGTTATGATAGACACATTTTCAGGCAGTTCAAAACAACAACCAAGATCAATGAATTTACATTAAATAACCAATTACTATAACAAACAACTGGTTATCCAGTTACTTTTTCAGCATGGTCTAATATGTTTATAACCTTTTAAAAAGTTCCCTCCTTTTGCCAGTTTAGAAGACAACAGACACATACAAGTTTCTTACAAGCCCAGAAGAATACACACATTACATATAATTAAAAATATATATTTTTAAAAATCAAGTGGGTGAAGTGGAAGTCTAAAGCAGGAAGAAAAAACCCAAGCTTGTGCAGTTTGCAGCAAACAGTTATTTTCTATGGATTTCCTATTCTGATGAATTTGCTACATAAGATCTTAAGCTTTAACAGGACAAAACCTTTATATTTCAACTCCAGGTATTTTTGTATCTTTGTTTAAAAGGGGAAACCCACAGTACATTTATAGGCTTCCTCTTGAATAATAATTGCACACTGCTTTTAATTTCAGCAAAATATTTTACTGCTAAAAAAACAGCTTCCCCTTGAGGTAAATATATGCATTCTCTGTAAACTGCAACAGCAGCAGGAAGAGTATTTAACATGTTTCCTGATATAAAAGGTACAATCACTGCTGCTGTATGCCTTCTGATGGCATTTGTATGGCGCTCCCTCACAAGTCTTGGTAAAAGGAATGAAAAGTTGGACAGAAGGGGCATAATCAATCTCTTTTAAAGCCATTTACACACACAAACACACATACACGCACACACATTTCTTTCTCTTTCCTGCAGAATGCATGTAATAGCCGAGGTCAAATATGTTTTAGGTTCAAATCCAGAACTGTTATACAGTGTGAAAAATGAGACATATCTTCAAACTTTGGTGCCCTTAAAAATATATTACCAAGCGTTGTTACTGAAGAGAACTATTATCAATCCCCTTCTCGTATTCAATGTCATCACAGGGGCCATGCTCTTCTGTACAGCATTTGTGTTGCTACACATCCTGCCTACGCTGTGTGCAACTGGACAATAGGATCTACATGACAGCCCCCTCTCCCCACTACACTAATGCAATTATTGGCCGCATATCACAGCAGAATGGAGATGGACCATGGTGGAGGACTTTGCCATGGCAACCTGGGGTTATCAAAGAGGTCATAAATTCATTCATTGAAAAAAAAATCAGTCTTTCAAAACATGGACAAACAAATGAATGGTCCCACGTGTGCTAATGACCTAGAGTGAGGATTCTTAGCTCTTGGTCCACCAGATGTTTTGAGCTTCAACTTTCAGAATCCTTGACATAAATGTCAGCTTTGAGAGATGAAGTTCATAACATCTGGAAGACTAAAAGTTGATAGTCTTAAGGTTAAGTGAATTGACAGCAAGTATGTATGGCTATGTTTTCTAAAATTAAGAAGAACCAGAGGAACAGCAGGCTGGAGAACAGCTGAATATTTTCTCCTACAACCATTTTCTAATGCAAAAATGCCCTGTGGCTTTTCAAAAGAACATTTTTTTCTAGCTATACAGAAAGGGAAGAAGGGCAGCAGTAAAAAAAAAAAAACTAGAGCTCTTCCCTTTGCCACTTAGTAATGATTGAAGCTTCCTATGGCTATCTTTCATTCAAAAACATTTAAGAGGCTGTTACACACATCTGCCATATAATGTATACTTTATTCAATTTTTGGGAACTTCATTCAATAACAAGCCTTTAAATGTTTAGCAACTACAAAAGAAAAAGAAGATGTTCTGGGACTAGTTGTTGAAAAAGAGCCTATTTATGATTTCTTCTATTTTCTGGTTCCCAACAGAGAAGCCAACATAGCATACAGCCACAGGGATCAGACAACATTCTCAGCAGAAACAAAGAGAACACTGCAAGAAAGTCCTGCACTTTGATTTTGGTTATCAAAGTCTGTTTATGGCCCAGAGTCCTTTCACTTTGGTTCTCTGCTTTACTTAGTATCTGAACCTAAAAAACCAAAGAACCCACAAACATGAAAGCCATGCATGGAAATTTAAAAAGAGAGAGAGAGGGAATCCATGTAACAGTAAGTGAGGCCACTTGGTTCCTTTACTGTGTACAAAAAAAATCTGTTGAATACAATTTCTTCTAATGGATATTGCTCCATGCTGCTTAGAAGACTAATTGTGAGGATATTTAAAGATATACTTCTTTGATGAAAAACTCCAGCATCATCAGTGACAAGGGCTGAATCAGTAAGTCCAAACATCAGAAGTTATAGTTATGTATCATGTCATGAATTCAATTCCCGGGGGGGGGGGGGGGGGAACCAATTGTACAATAATTTTACACAATATAGGAACTTGTTACACATGAAATCCAGACATTCAAGAAACAAATGTTCTTCATATGAATTCTTACTTCTAAAAAAATGCCAGTTTTAATTATATTCAAAGTAATGTTTAGAGGGAAATTCACAAACTAATTATCAATTTGATTGGATGAATCTTGTTCCTCTTAAAATTTAGACAGTTCATGTAATCAAATTAATTCCACTGTGCAATAATAACATTCTCAAAAGGTGAAACCCAATGCAAAGACTAGCATTATGGGAATACAACAGTATCTTCACCTGATGAGTCAATTTCTTTCAACCATGAATGAATAAACTATTTCACATTTCCCCATGTGATGCATCAATAAATGCACATTTTAATAACACCTTTTCTACTTATGATGTAATCATCAAGTTTTTCCTCAAATTAAAGCTATTATTTCAAGTACAGAGCATGCACAATCAAGCGATAGTTAAGCATTTGTGTTTTTCATGAGACAGAAATAAATTAAACATATTATAGTCCAAATGTTTTCAATTGGGAGACACTGGAAATTACTAGGATTCAAATACTTCTAGTTGGTATCCAGTCTTTCTAGTGACCATTACCTAGTCATATATTTAAAATCCACAATTTCTGTAATTTTATAGGTAAGTTCGCAAAGACTTTCAGATGAAAGCCTTTATGAAACATACGTTTTATTTTCCTCACATTGCCTATAGGAATTATTTTTATCTTACTGCAACAGATAACCAAAGGTTCCCCTGGCCAAACAAGGTTAATCCTTCCCCAAAACCTTCAGCACATCATCATTATGTAGCTCTCATATGCTCAAACAACTGGGATTGCACACTCTTCAACATCAGGAGGAAGCTGAGCATGTCCCTCGCCTGCAGGTTTTTCCCTGCTCTCTACAGTTTTCCAGACCACCTATTACAACTGTCACATGTGTCTATCTGTGTGAACCAGGAGAATTTGCAAAAGTAATTTTTGGACCATAGCTCTCAGAACAACCAGCAAGTCTTCTACCCATGCTAGTAGGTGAATTCTACAGGCTGTAGTTCAGTAAGACTAACATTTCTGAGATCTTTACCAGAGCAAAGCAATTAAAACCAAAAGCTTCACAGTAACATGACTAAGAGCCTACATAACAGTTCTCATTTTCAAATTCAAGAGTTTGGGACAACAATAAAGTAGCAAACAAACAAAGTGACTCAGATCAGGATCTCAAGTGCAGTTAACTTGGAAGCTTATTTTATAAAAAAAATCATCCGAGGTGTAGTTTTGCTAACTCTCCTTATGAACAAAATTTCAACAACTGGGTAATTAAAAGCAATCATTTCTATCACCATTCACAACAGTGAGGAAAGTAAGAGTGTACAAATTGTCATCAGTACAATTACTGTTCTTCAAATACTCAAACAACCATCAACTTATCTCATACAAGACCATGCCCCACTCCAAAAGAGGTGCACATAAGAATGCATAGTCTCATGTTGGTGGGGCTTATGCAGGAAACGGCCATACAAATTGTGTTCTTAAAACGTTTGGGTTTTAGCTTGCTTTGGAGGGGGTTGAAACTGTTGATTGACATTCACACTCACATGCTCACACATATATACCTACATAAAGAGAAGAAACCTGAATGGTGAAGCAGACAAAATCAACACAAGTAGAAGTCCGATTTTAGAAACGGACACTGCCAATCAGAAAGTAATTCATTTAAAACTGAGTTCTCACTAGTTTCAGCAATTCGGTTTCCTTAAAAAAATGGCCACAATACATTTTGAAAAGTGAATTACCTCTGTTAGACAGATTATTCACAAGTATAACATTTGCTGTGTTAGAGCATACTTTGCCTGATTAAAGCCTTAATACTGCTTATCGTGCAGGTATGCTCCCATATATACAGTGCCTTTCCATGCCCATTTTTTTCCTTTATTCAGATAAAAATAAAATATATATGTAGGAGGAAATTGTCAGGCACATACTCCAGCTGTTATTTTATAAGTCAGAATGTCAGACTATTTCTTTTGCAATTTTATACAAAACAATTGCACAGCAACAAATAATCTGGTCTTCTGGCAACAATGATTTTCACCTGTAAGTCATTTCATTGTACATAATTTCACATTGATACTTCTTTAATATTTAAATACATATGTAAAAAAAGCCCCCCAACTAATCATTTCTTTTATAGCCAAGTTTTCCCTCTATGAAGCCAAACTTCAAAAAGTTACAAACAGAATATTATACAGGATTTATAAATCAGGTTTAAAAACTTGAGGCTTTAAAATCATGTTTGCCCAAAAGGACATTTAGGAAAACCCACACACTGTCAAAACAGCAGAGGAAACTGAGTGGGAAAAGAAGACAGACACAAGAGTTTTCTGTCTCAATATTTTTACTTATTCTGCCAGTTAAAGATGTTGATATTATCAGAAATAACAGCATAATCTGAAAATGTGTAAAGATGTTTTCATGTTGGTCCCAAGTGATGAGACATATGATTCAAGTATTTCCTATTTGATCTGAGCTCACCGTATCAAAGTGGTGTCAAAAAAAAAAAAAAGGAAGAAAGGACAGAAGGGAGATGCGAGTTTATTTTACTTTTGTTCCATACATTCGATTAATGTCTTCCTGGTAGTATGTAGTCAGCTCTTTACGTTTTAATTTGAAGGCATCTGTCACCAAGCCCGTCTCTGGGGTCCAAGGTTCAGGGCTCAAACGAATTTTGAGTGGGATTTCAAATTTCTCAAGATTAGCTGCAACAGAAGAAAGAAAAATATGACTTGCAGATTTAAAAAATTCAGACAGATGGAAAATACTGGACATATTCCCTCAAAATGATGGATAAAACATCTGGGACTATTAAACACAGTGGGGAAAAAGACACAATCAAGAATACATATTCTATAAAGATTTTAAAACTGAAATGGAATGAGTAAGCATTATTCCTCCCTGTTAAACAAGAATACCTCTTTAGGTCTTGGAAAGTGATTGGCAGTAAAATTCAAGACAACCAATGAAAGCACTTTCCCCACACAATACCTTATTATTGTATGGAATCCACAATTTGAAAAAAAAATCACCTTCTGAACCACATTCACAGAAACTACTACAAGATACAATAATGTGGTTAACTGAAATTCTTTTGAGGGTGAATTCATGGCAGATGGTCATATCAGTGAGTAGCAATCATGATGATGCTACAAAACATTTAGTTTGAAAGATAACATTGCCTGGGAAACAACAGTAGGGGAGGGCTGTTATTTCGATGCTTTGGTTTCTATGCTTCCCGGAAGCATCCAGTTGGCTAGTGGGGAAAACAGGATACTAGAATAGATTAACCTTTGGTCTGATCAAGCAGGGCACCTCTTATGCACTTAGGAATTGTTTCAAAAGCGTCCTACCCCCTTGTGGTAACCAAAACAAAACCAGCATCTCAAGAAGATATTTCAGTTTGTCAAGTTTTGATCTGCTCTTTTACCATTCATTTTCATGAAATCAATGCAGTATGTGGGGAGAAAATATATAAATAACTTTCCTTGCTTGCTTACCTACGATACCAGCCTCAGCCAAAAGCTTTTGGACTTCTTTCTCCATTTCTGCACTGTTACATATCTCTTCTATGCTTCCTTTGAATCCTTTCTTTCGTGCTAACTCTTTAAGTTCTTTATGATTTGGCACAATAAATCCAATGACGTAAGACTGGAAACTTAAAAAGAAAGATGCATATGCACAACTTCATGATAAAACGTATATATCTATTCAGTTTTCCATATTCCATAACAACATTTTACTGTACATTTCATCGTGTTCTTTCTGAACTTTTCAACTAAATATCATGGCACACACATTAGTTTTGCCAAATGATTGCCAGTGAAGTCAAGCAGCCCCAAGTCAAGCTCACTCTAACTGGTAAGTGCTGTATGATTTCAGCCTCTTCCCCTGTTCAATGAAACCTCTTTTTTTAACCACTATTTATTTATTTATTTATTTATTTATTTATCGTGTCAGGCAACCGAACAGTTGTATTACATTTTTTTACAGAACAAACAAACAAACATACAAAAGGCACAGAGTTTGCAAGCTTGGTAGTTGATTAAATGTCCTTTGACCAGTATCTGGCCACTTGGAGTGCCACTGCCACGGGATTATAGCTGTGGGGTTATGGGAACTAAAGTTCAATATATTAGGGAATGGAGCAGCAGGTTAGAGAAGAATTGTATGGTTTAGCCTTACAAGGCCAAAATGTTGGAAATTCCCAGTCTCATATAAAAAGGCCTCAGTGAAAACAAATAAGTTCCCTGTTCAAAGGTATTGTCTTGCTCCTTGATCAGTTTTGTTTAAGTCTTACAGTGTTATTGGAGGATGAGTTAATCACTCTTTTTACAATACACATAATATTTAACAACCAAACCCAAACTCCCTATTTCTTTGATTTGCTCACAATTCTTTCTTTAAAGGAGGGAAGGGACATGGCATGAGCCGGGGGTTTCAGACTACTCCAGCCCTCCCTAACTAGTGGCTCAGTTGTGGGAGGGAAAGCATTAAATTCCATGTGACAGTGTTACCAATAGTGACAGATACTATGTTCCATGGTGAGGGTTTTTATTGGAGTTCTATCATTCAATTAATAAGCTTGTGAGATTCCAATAACTTCCCTTTAGAACTTACAATTAGCTTTAAGAAACACCAGTACTAAGTTCAATTCCTGGCAATATGTAGGATTCGGGGGATTTTTTTTCTACTGTCAGGCCCTGCAGAATCTGTCCTTATTTGGGAGGACAATATGCTAGCTTTTAGCTAAAAACAGAGATGTCCTAAAATGCACAGTGTTACTCGGAGACAGAGAAAATCAACCTGAGTCTCAAGATTCTCAGTGGAAAATCTTCCTTCAGTCTCACCACCATCACTGAGAGAGGGCAAGGAGAAAGCCTTTTGGGTGGAGGCTTCCAGGCTATGGAATCCACAACTTGAAAAAAAATCACATTCTGAACCACATTCACGGAAACTACTACAAGATACAATAATGTGGTTAGCTGAAATTCTTTTGAGGGTGTATTCATGGCAGATAGGCACATCTATGGAATGAATTCATGGCAGATAGCCATATCAATTAGTAGCAGTCATGATGACACTACAAACATCTATGGGTATTCTAGGATGGCTACTGTTCTGTTCTTTTACCAGTAGGAAATGACATTTTATTTCAAAAGGCATTTGATGATTAATGGTTTGTGCAGAAGAGGTGGGGGCAGAGGTGGGATTGCTGTATCCTTTTTTGCTAAGGTTTTCAATGATTTTACAATTTTTATTAATTTGTTCAGTTGCTTCCAATTCTTTGTGACCTCAAGGACCAGCCCATGCCAGAACTCCCTGTCAGCCGTGGCTACCTCCAGTTCCTTCAAAGTCAAACGAGCCACTTCAAGGATATCATCCATCCATCTTACCCCTGGTCTGCCCCTCTTTCTTTTTCCTTCTGTTAATGGTATTTTGATATAACTAGCTAAATTGTGTTTGAGCTTTTTAACATTAGGTTTTAGGCTTATCTTGTGTCAACTTTGTTGTAAACCACCCTGAATGCCAGGGAAAGGGAGAGGGAGATTCCTTTGTGAATTACGAGTATGATACAGCTCTCGGAAAAACTAAGCTAGAACTGTAGTGGAGGAACTAACTTTTCTAAATTTGAGAACTATTCTAGCACAAGCAAAACCATTATTTGCCAGAATACAGTGTTCCCTTGCTATTTCACGGTTTGCTTTTCGCGGACTCGCTGTTTTGTGCGTTTTTGCCTCCTGGCAATGATGGAGTGTGGAAGGGGGTTTCACCCTCCCCCTCAGGAGAGAGGCAGCCAATCATAAAAAAGAGAGAGGGGAGATACAAAGCAGTATATGAATCATGGCGTTACAGCCCCTTCCCTATAGATAGCACACAAAAAAAATGCACGGTGCCTTTAAATCTCTCCTCACTTCTGCCTCACCCTTGGAATGCAATATATATATATATAGAGAGAGAGAGATATATCGTCTCTACTTTGTGGATTTTAACTTTTCGTGGGTGGTCCTGGAACATAACAGCCACGATAAATGAAGGAACACTGTATACACTGGTCATCTTACCTGCTTGCATATACACAGATATTATCCACCAATGGAAGATTCTTCAAAGCTGCTTCAACTTTACCAAGAGAAACATATTCTCCTGCTTGAAGCTTCACAAGATCTTTTTTGCGATCTGTAAAATTAATGTTTTCAGTTAAAAGATATACAGAATCAGACTAACAGAATTCTGTTTTTATTTTGATTTTATAACAGCTTCATTTTTAAGCAAGCAGAACGTTTTGGGACTTTAGCCAGGCATGGCTTGAAAATATAAGAATTAACTGCACACATACAGAATATACATATGCAATACATAAACACATTCAAGTGAAGAGGAAAAGAGTCCGAATCCACTGGAGTGAAAGAGTACTATGCCAATAGAAAATTTCAAGTAAAGCGCTACACAAGAAACCCACCAATAATTTTTAGACATCCATCTGAGTGGAATTCTCCAATGTCTCCAGTGAAAAGCCATCTCTGTCCATTCTCATCTATCATGAAATCGTTTTGTGTTCGTTCATCATTTTTGTAGTAGCCCATCGTTATATTTTGGCCTCCAATAACAATCTCACCTCTAGGATATGGTTTATCTGTGTTAAAGTATCCACCTAGAATTGAAATTTTGGGGTTAATAAGTACTTTGAAAATACAGAATAACCATTTTCAATATATATTATGCTATTTTTGAATGCATATTTGAAAATATACACTAATACTTGCTGAGTCACAATGTCTAATGCACTGAGGAAGCAAACAGGGAGCTTTGTTAATTGGGAATTCTGCATACATACAAACAAGAAAGGATACCATGCAAATAACTCTCACAGCTACATCTTTGTACAGAGCATGTCTCATTCTTATAGCACCCACATTATCAGGTAGGTGAGGACCACTCCCAAGCAACATGGAAAATACTGCATTATGTACTATTTGATGGTGCAAAAGGAATTCATTTTGCCTTACATGATGATACTTCGCACTGGTTTGTGCAGTGGGACTGGAAGCCATTCTTGGCCAAAAAAGGATTTGAACTTGAGTCTTCCACATCTAAATGCAATACTATCTACTGTATTACACAGAACACAGGGTACCAGCTCCACTTAACCAAAGTTTCTACATTTATCTCATTAACAGTGACTCACAGACTTTCCATTATGAGGCCCAAATGTAAACAAGGGGGAGAAATGGTAAATATAGTTTGTTCCGAACTTTGATAAATTTTTGGTGATATTCTGGTTTTTAAGCAGAAGAAATTTTTGTTTTTCTCTTGGTTAATATTTGTTTTAACTAGCACACTTGAGAGTGTAGATCTTTTTTTTTAAAGCAACAGTATACAGTGGATAGAAAAATAATTCAAACAATAATTCAAACTCAAAATAGAACAGATATGAACACACTTTGCAGCCTAATGTCTTCTCCTGCACTTTTTTTTCTTTTTTTACAGGAGACAGATGATACATTTTAAACAAGTGATTCAAAGAAGTAAAGTTAGAGAACAAAATCTAGCAATTTCTTTCTAATATGAATATTGGACTACGACTGTGGAGGCTAGAGTTCAATTCCCTGCTCAGTCAGGGAAACCCACTGGGTGCTTCTCTGAGTCAGAAAACCCGGTGATAGGTCGCCTTGAGGAAACAACTAGAAGGCACACCACCACCACCACCACCACAAAAACAACAACAATGTATTCTTATTACTCATGAAACACAAATACATTCTGTTGACAACTTTTATGTTTTCTCAATATTAGCAACTTATCTTTTTAGCAAACATTGGAAATGACATGTTTGGTAATGACATTATGTGTGAATACATTACATTTTGGACAGCAATGTTTTGGGTAATGAAGACACAAACACTGAGAATACTGTTAAGAAGTGTTTGTTTTACTGCTAATTTTTACAATTAAAACATGGCTTTTTAGGGGTCATTTGGAATTATGTATAGCATTTGTATTAAGTGTTTTTTTTTTAAAGTAACTGAAAAGTTACTAAAGCAATGAAATTAATTAGTCATCAGTGTAACTAAAAAAAAATCAGTAGAATTCTTCTACCACACAATTTTTTCCTGCCAATGTTATTTCATATTTATCTCATTTTTCCTGAGGGATCAGGGTTGACCACAGTGAATTTCATTTAACATGTTGCTACAAGCTTTGTCTTGGTTTCAGGCCATCATTGCTTATTTCTCTTTCTGAAATCATGTAGTATGTGTTGAGACTTCAGGGGAAAAGAAATGCCTTTTCTCACTTTTTGCCAAGGAAATATTTGGGGGGGGGGTCAAAACAGCAATGGCTCCCACTTTTATTTAAGATTACTACTGGCCATATGGGGCAAGATTGGTGGAAGCACTGAAGAATCAGCATATAATTTGTAAGAAAGGACAAAATGACAGAATCCCCCTTTCATTCTAGCACTTTGAAATAAAAACATTATTTACCTAACACACTGGAATGTTGGTGTACATAGAGAGGCAAACAAGTGGCATTTACTCTATGAAAGTTAGATTTGTTACTTTTTTAATGAGCAGCACTAAAGACTATTTGGAAACAACTTAGTCTGCCAAGTCTATAAATCCAGGTCATGCTATTCTACCACAGAATTTACTGCAGTGTTTTACTCCCATATTCAGATACATATCTTATAATTTCTCAGAGAGACAGAAAAGGAAGGTGCCAACTTAGAAAACATAAGAAAAAGGGAGAGGTGATTACTGAAGAGCAAATTTTATAGGCAATTTCAAAGGGCTTCCAATTTATTGGAATGGGCATTATCATTACAGACACTGTGTTGAGCTTTGATGGGGGAAAGCCTTCTGTGTAACTAAAAAGCAGAAATGTAACATGTACGATTCTCCCCATCTCAGCATCTCAAGGCTGGGAAAAGAAGACACCTGTTAAAGGTATACTGATCATACAGCCACCACAGCTGCAGGAATTACTTGCTTATTTTCTGTTGTTATGAAATGGGACACAAATGCTTCAAACTAGCACAACTAGCTGGAAGGTGAAAGTTGCACACATGCCTAGTCCACACAAAAACTAAAAGGCAACGTTTCAAATACTTTCAACATCTCAATTTGATGGATTTGGACTGTTGTGAGGCATTCCAAAGCAGAGGCCCTTCTGGTGTGTGTCACCCTTATGTATATTTATTTTAACTCGCAGTGCTGCTTATTCCTTTGTTTTTTCAAAATGCAATCTAAGGAGTTAGGAAGGGGTACACTGCCCACACATGAGTTCTTGGTGTAAGCCAGGACATGTAGAAAAGTCAGTAGCTCCTACTTGGCCCAAGATTCCTTCCCTTCCCCATCCAAGTTCTTTCTAATGCAGTGCAAAGACATTTTGTGACAGGGAGTTAGTCCTGATGACTAGGCATAGGTCATAAGGAAAGAAGTAAGGTTATCTCTACTGCTAACAAAAAATTTCCCATCAAAACAATTTGCAAAATATTTTGTCAACAAATTTGAAGCAAGAGGCTTTTTTGTTTGTTTGAAAAATAGGGAATTTCCACTCTAGTTCCTTCATAGCCTACTTCCAGGATTTCTTCATCTCAGCTAAAATAATCATGAACTTCATGTACTTATTTCTTCAATGTATGTTAATCAGACTATTTTAGATCCACTACTCTCATTCTCTGCTGGATAACAAAACAGTCTAAGGAGAAGATGATATGTGTCACTGGAGGTTGGGATCCACAAGACTTTGCAAAAAAAGAAGACATTTAGGGAGAAGGGAAAAATGAGAATGGCCTATAGCATTTGTCTTTCATAGTTAACTCCCTCATGCACAAACACCAATCCCCTCCTTTTGCCATCCATGAGTAAAACATTTTTCTGCCTGTGGGATTCTGGGGAAATAATTTCCCACAATGCTTTAAGTTCTGACTACTTTCAATCACTTAGCACCTGGAAAATTACACTGGGCAAGAGGAAGGATTCACACATGCTGTAACATGACCCCAATTCGGTTTTAACAATTCTTTACTGGTTTTAAGACTAAAATAACAGAAGAAAATGAAAGGCTTAGTGTAGTCCTCAGAGAAACTTTATGAAATAACAAAGCAAATTTCTACCACTACACACAATCAATCTTGGAAAACGTGTTAAAAGATTTCCTGGAGCATATTCACATTGAAATAATAAAACCAAACATGTAGAAACTTGCTCTAAAAGAATTACACTATGTAACACAATTTTTGTTCCTGGGTTATAAATGTCATTTCCTAATTGCTTCTATTGTAAAAACATGGGAAAGGTTTATTAAATGGCAAAAACTTTGTTTTTGCAGGACATTCTGCAGCTCATTTTGCTATAGTTTTTCAATGAATATCACATAGAGCAGGGGTCCTCAAACTAAGGCCCGAGGGCCAAATACAGCCCTCCAAGGTAATTTACCCGGCCCTCACTCAGGGTTGACCTAAGTCTGAAATGACTTGAAAGCACACAACAACAACAACAACAACAACAACAACAACAACAACAACCCTATCTCATCAGCCAAAAGCAGAACCACACTTCCCATTAAAATACTAATAAGTTTATATTTGTTAAAATTGTTCTTCATTTTAATTATTGTATTGTTTGTTTAGTGTTTTTTGCACTACAAATAAGATATGTGCAGTGTGCATAGGAATTCATTCCTGTTTTTTTCAAATTATAATCCGGCCCTCCAACAGTTTAAGGGACTGTGACCTGGCCCTCTTTTAAAAAGTTTGAGGACCCCTGACATAGAGTCTCAACCAATTCAACATAGTTTGTGGCAGCCACAAAAATGAGGTTTCAGGAGTATAACAAATACTTTCAAAGTAAGTAAATTAAACAATTAAACAAGAAATAACATTTTCAAACCAGGAAGCAGAAAAAAATGCAATTTTTGTTACATAGTTTACCACATTCCTTGTGAAGTTTCATGGCAAAAAGACTTCTTACCTTCTTTCCAGTTCACTAGTTTGATCTCACAGCAAACTAAGGGTGCTCCCACTCTGCCTGTTGTATAATCCCAAACTGAAATTTAGAAAAAGAAGACAACATTACAGACTGAAAGGAGTACCTCTCAGCCAGTTCTACTATTGTTACTCTACATAGTTTGAGATCAAACATGTTTTGAGTAATTCTGGAGTGAAATAATATCAATGTGTCATATATAATCACATTATATCCCTGTGTCATGGCTGATATTCCATCTCCATGCACCTCACTAACCTTCTGTTATTGTTCCAGCCCCAGAGGATTCTGTTAAGCCATAGCCCTGTCCCACAGGGCAACAAAAACAGATGTTCATAAATCTCTGAGTAGCTGCAGAAAGTGGAGCTCCTCCACACAGCAAAACCCGAATCTTCCCACCTAGCAGCATCCGGACTTTTCGGAAAACAAGACTAGAAAGATTTTTAAAAAAGATAAAGATAAAAACTGTTATGTAGATCATCTACACTAGCAGGTATATCATAAAAGCTGCATTTTACTTTCTCAAATAGCCTCTCTACATCTATGCATGTTTACTCAGACAAATAAAGCCAATGGCCCAAGAGGAATTGCTTACAAGAGTGCATGTCACAGCCAAAGACTGGAATATTATAGCACATCTAACTTTTACTTTTCAACTTTATAGCTAGCACTAGCTTCCAAAAACAATTTTCTGTTTAACAAATCTTGAGGACAGCATGTTTTCCCTCCATTCAAAACATCATTTCAATACATATGCTGCTTAACCCTGACTTTTACTTTTTTTTTCTACACATTTCTGACGCAATCTCTTTACTCCAGGTTTGGGGCCACAGGCGAGTGGGTGTCCTTTTCCTTACCTGTCACACAATGGAGTAGAGTAGCCTTTTGAAATCTGATCCATCTTGTAATTGTAAGCTAATATAAACAGATTCCTTTGGAAACTGGACATTTCATTAACCCGATTCATGACATTTTTGTAGATTCGATCCATGATTTCCTGGTTATAGAAATGGATTAAACACATCAACCCAGCATAAATAACTCTGAACCCAATTTTATTCCCTGCAAATATATATATAAAAAAACTGTATTGTTTGGTTTTACATGACAACCTATCCCCTAGCTGCTGTGACCTCTCTCACTCATACACACTTCTCTATCTATCTATCTATCTATCTATCTATCTATCTATCTATCTATCTATCTATCTAAATGCTCTGTTCGTTTTTAGTGACATCATAGTGACAGGGACTTAAAACCCCCCAAAATCTAGAATACAATACAGCGCATATTCCCCAACAACTTGCCTGGCCCTACTCCCTTCTGTGGGAGGGAAAACAAACCAAACAGCTGTCCCATCTCTCTTGAGAAGAGACTGCAGAGGAGACCATCTGTAGGGAGGACTTTGATGGTGTCTTCCTTCACAGAAAAAGGAGGTTGGACTGGATGGCCTCCCCTGGGCCCGCTCGGCAGTGAAGAAACTCCCAAGTGGCAGGAAAGAAGGATGTGGAGTCTGTCTGTCTGTCTGCCGAAAATAAGGTAAACCTCTCCAGGGTCAAAAGGGTGAAGCCTCTGAGGTGAGTGCAGCCTCCTCCTCCTCCTCCGCCTTGGTGGTGGTGACCACAGGTAGAGCCTGGAGGCAGCAGGGCCCGGGCCTTCTTCCCTAGACAGCAGCAACACCGCCTCTGCCCTTTCTGCCTCCTTCCTTGCATTTCCTCTCCCTCAGCTGGCGGAGGGAGGATGGCGATGGCACCGCCTCTTTGTTGGAGCAGGCACGGAGTAGAGGGCAGGGTGCCAGTGAGTGTGAAGGCCATTCCCCTTCTCCCATCCTGGAGGAAGCCTGGAGTTAAGGCGGAGGCAGGAGGGGTTTGATCTACACCAGGCCGGGGCAAGTTGGTAGTTCAGAAACCCTGAAGGGCCCAAGTATGCCCCTGCATGGTCTACACCATGGAATTATTCCATAGCATTGAGCCATGGCAGTTAAAGGGGCTCTATAGGCCATCCAGCCCAACCACTTTTTCCAGTAAAAGAAGACACCATCAAACCCTCCCGAAAGACGGCAATCCAGATGGAAAGGAACCCCGAAGGTCATCCAGTCCAACCTCATTTTTCAGTGAAGGAAGACACCATCATCGCCTACCCAACAGATGATCAACCAGTTGGAAGAGAGCCGCAAAGGCCATCCAGTCCAACCCCCTTTGGCCTTAAAGGTGTATGTGTGTCTGTCTATCTGACCATCCATCCATCTACCATTCTATCTACCCTTGTATCTATGTTCTATCCATCTACCTTCTTTTCCATCTATCTATGTCCCTTCCATCTATTCCTTCTGTCTATTGTTTCATGCATGGAATTCCTGTTTTCTGAGAGCCACAGTAACATGTGGCAGGGGACAGCTAGTTTAATATAAAGCATTTACTGGATTCTGGTGCATACCAAGTGGATATGACCAATAATGCTTTTAAGGTTAAAGAGAAGACAGAGAAAATGTATACTTTACAATTTATTACTTGCACCTGGGGAGAACAGCTATTTGTTTAAGAAACAAATTATCTATCAAAATATTGAGAAAAGTAATAGAATACTGTTTTATAAAAATACATATTTATGCCCAATATTTAAGCTCAAACTATTTCCATATTGCAATGTGTGCCATTTGAGGGGGCGGGGGATCTTACTGATTAAAAGTTAGGTAGGTTTTTCCCTGAGATTAAGTCCAGTCATGTCCGATTCTGGGGGTTGGTGCTCATCTCCATTTCTAAGCAGAAGAGCCACCGTTGTCTATAGACACCTCCAAGGTCATGTGGCCGGCATGACTGCATGGAGTGCCACTACCTTCCCACCAGAGCAGTACCTATTGATCTTCTCACATTTGCATGTTTTCAAACTGCTAGATTGGTAGAAGCTGGGGCTAATAGTGGGAACTCGTCCCACTCTCCGGATTTGAACCAGTGACCTTTTGGTCGGCAAGTTCAGCAGCTCAGCGGTTAACCCACTGCACCACCGGGCGTTCCACTATTAAAAGTTACAAAGATTAAATTTCCTTCTTTTCTATCTTGACAAACACTATACCATTCTTAGCCTAGCTAGCCAATATTGTATAAATAGTAAATTAATAGGTAGCATGAAACAAAGATGTTCATTAAAAAAATTGAAGTTATTTTATGTAAATGTGTTATAATAAATACACTCAACATTTTTTCATGATGAACAAGGAGCCACAGTGGAAAGGAAATCCACTTTCTGTGAACTTCTATCCACTCTATCGTGCACAGGATTCACAATATATTTTTCATGCTGTATTTTAGGCAAAAATCTAATAAAATATAGAATACATAAAACATAGTCTATACAATGGTCAATCTCTGGTGTGCTTTCTATTTATATATGAGACAATATTGTAGTGTTACTAACAAATTGCTGTGTTTTCATATAAATTTGAAGAAATTCATATTTTAAATATGCTTACCGGCACAGCTGCCATTAAAGTTGGCTTTAGTACAGAAACATCACCTTTGCTTCCTTTCTTTATTTTAGAGGACTAAAAAAAGCAAATACAGTATTAGGTTAGCAAAACAAAAAAGAAAAGCTCTTGTTTGCATACACAGGAGGGAAATATTGTTTCACCATGACACTTGGTGACAAAGTAGCATGTGCAAATTATGTCAAAAATACCAAAACACTTAAAGAATTTCAAAACATAAATGTTTGACTTTACATTTAAATGTATTATAGGCATTTTTAAAAAATGCACCATTTACCGTTTTAATCTAGTTTATGAGGAAAATAATCTCACCTGATCACTTAGAGTCTGTGGTGATGAGTAACCAATGCGGCATCCATGGGACAAACAAACAAGTTCGGCACTTAATTCCAGAACATGGGCAAGAGGTAAGTAGCCGATGTAAACATCCTTATCTCTGTAAAAGGAACAATGATGTGCTTTGTCTCATATGGTATCAATGCACTGCCAGGTTTGGAGCATCATGATCCTGCCCCAACAACTTTGTAATTATGTCATATTACTATAGCTTAAAAAACACTGGTGCTACATATTGATGGTTTCCAGTTTTGAAGTCATCTGTAGAACTGGGTGTCTCTTCCTCTAATTTTCCTTGTCTCTATAGCAGTCTCCATGCTTGTAAATGATACTATGGATTCTACTGGCACCTTTACCACAGAGGTTGAGATCAAGTGACATTCAGGCAACACGTGGCCTTCAAGGACATTTTTGTAGCCCATAGATTTCACACCTTGTTTTGCAGAAAATCCAATTTTCCCTTTAAAACCAGTTTTTTTAAAAACTTGAAATGATTGTTTTTCTTTGTATTTCAACTAGAGGGGCTACTGAAACTTCTCAAGTATCCTGAGCACAGAAAGGGGGCTCCCAGCACTCCCTTCCCAAGCTAACATTGAGAACAAAACAAGTTTTTCTTCAATCTCAGAACATTTTGCCTGTATCAAGGGATAATACAATAATTTAAAATAAAATCATTTAAAAGCATGTCCATCCCTCACTCCTACGCCATGATTTCAGGATCTCAGCTATTGTCTTTCTAGAGAATGGTGGCTCGGGCAAATTAAATCAGAGAAACTGTAACTTTACAGCATTCTTTCCAGGGTTGCAAAAGAACTACATAATCTAACTGTACAAAATTTACGAATCTAAACAAGTGCTACTGAAAGTAGATTGATGCCAGACTATAAGCCATCAACTCCTGGGATGTCCAGGAAAGGAAGAAAAAACCCTGAAATCTATATATATATATGGTACTGGCCCCTGGAAGATTGGTTTAAAACAACATAACATCAAATATCTTAAGATTTAAAAAACACTAGACTATATGTTAATCCTATTTATTCACACGTTAAGTCTACTTACAGAGGAGAGCTGAACAGCCCATTTCCTGTTATATACTAAAAACTTGGTAAAGGTAAACTCACAACCTTCCCAAGTTGATCTCTCTAGTAATACTAAAAGAAACAATATTTTAACGATTCTAGCAATGTACAGAAATGTGCACACTATTCAAGAGTGCATTTGATACTTACCCCAAATTAGGTATCCTTTCAGCCATCCCGGTTATACCAGAAATAAGGTTGCAATGTGAGATCATAACACCTTTTGGAACTCCTGTAGAACCACTGGTATACATAATTACAGCAATGTCTGATGGTAATGCTTTCAACTTCTGTTTGTTGATAGATACTTTAAAAAAGAGACATAAAGGCAATTAAACAGAAATCCAAGTTGTGAGACGATTACTCTATTATTCAAGAAGGAAACAGCTTCTTGTGGAGAATGGAAGCTGAGTTGGACACCTTTTTCTTGGTTTCTGCCCTCCTTCATCCTCTTTTAGAGCTTCTTTCCCATTTAGTTAGAATCAAGGATACCACCTCCACCTCATGACTTGTTTGGAGCCTATGTTTTCTATGCACCTTATACACATATCCTTATAAATATTTTTTACAATATTTTTAATAATGTTGCAAATGAAAAAAAATATGTATCATCAGAAAGCAAAGGTGTCACTATCTCAGTCACTCATGTGGACAGGTTTGGTATATTTCAGATTTCAGGTTTGGTATATTTCAGAAGTGATGTTCAGTCTGTACTGTAGAAAGCTTTCACTAAGTTCAACATAATCTTTTCAAGCTGTGGTATAAATGTTATTTCTTGTTTTGTCTATGGCAGACACAGCAAAGTGTGACAACTGAGCTGACACATGTAGAAAGTATGCTGGAAATCCCACAAGGAAAAAAAAGTAATTGGAGCTTTTATAACACATGCCAAGAAGTGAAAATTTCTTTGCTTTACTTTCGTAAGTCTTAGTCATAAAACTGCACACTAAATCAGCATTTTGTGCCAGATCTTTTACATTTGTGGAGAAAAATTACCATGCAGAACTTTATAAAAGCAATAGAAAACATGACAATCTACAGAGCCAAATGCTTCTAGCATCTATAACAGTTATATCTAGCATATGCTATCCACGTTAAATGCACCAAATAAAAACCTTCAAGCATTATCATGACTTTTTGTTTTCCAAAAAGTTTTCTTTATCCTAAGCACAAAAAAGATAAACAAATAGATAATTATACATACTATTTCCAACTTTCTCTCCCATTGCTTGAACGGATGTCATAGTGTGAACAATTACACCCTTTGGGAATTCTGACCATGTTGCTGGTTTACCATCCACAGTAATAATATGCCGGAGTAGTGGAACCTGAGAAGCAATACTCTGCAGGGCACAAAATAAGATATATAGTTTTAGAAGATCTTTCTAGCACTGTCTTTTAAAACATTACTATCTAATATATTAGTTCAGAAGAAGTTATAAAAAGTGTTTTTTTTTAATAATAATAATAAAAAAAAAGAGAGACAGATAAAAGAGTTGGAATTAGAAAGTGCTGAAGGCAAGGATGATAAGCAGTTACAGAAACAGGTACAGCATAGAAAGACAGAAAAACACACCAAGGCAAAAGAAGAGAAACAAGTGGACACAAAAGGCACGCATTTAATAATAATAATAATAATAATAATAATCTTTATTTATAGCCCGCCACCATCTCCCCGAGGGGGACTCGGAGCGGCTTACATGGGGCCAAGCCCGGACAACATGTTATTTCAGCCAATGAGTAAGATCCCCAGTCTTTCATGTTATTTTAGCCCCTGGTGGTGCAATGGGTTAAACCCTTGTGCCAGCAGGACTGCTGACCAAAAGGTCAATGGTTCAAATCCGTGGAGCGGGGTGAGCTCCTGTCTGTCAGCTCCAGCTTCCAATGTGGAGACATGAGAGAAGCCTCCAAGAGGATGGTAAAGCATCCAAGCATCCCCTGGGCAACATCCTTGCAGACGGGCAATTCTTTCACACCAGAAGCAACTTGCAGTTTCTCAAGTCACTCCTGACATGAAAAAAAATTAGGATATTTAAATTATTTCTGCAACTTATTAGATCAACAAAGAGAAGCAAAAATTTAAAAATATACTTCATGCATATGGCATTTTCTTCAGAATACTAAAGAAACATGTATACAGGCGTCCAATTTATCTATGACTTACCTTCAATTTTGTCTGCATCAGTTCTTTGCTAGTAACAATAGTTGTCACTTCAGTTTCATTTAGTCCATGCACTATTGCAGGGCCTCCTAGGGTAGCATACAGTGTAACAACTGGGGGGAAAAATTAAAAATCTGTTATACTTTGCTGCTTCAAAGTCAACACTGGAATTCTGCAAAACAAAACCAGAAGTAGATTGTGCTTGTGCATTTGTATCAATCTCCTCATAAAACAGTAGTTCTGCTTCTCCAAGTTCTACAGAAGAATTCCTACTCTTTCCTACTTAACAGGAGGGCACACTGATTTGAATTCTGAATATTTCCACCTTAATTTTGTAGTAGGAATGGAAAGCATTGCTCAGCAAAGCAGACAATGAAAACAAACTTAAATATCAGCTACTAGTTGGCTACTTCACACTGATTTTTAATGAATTACCCTATATAATGTATAAATCTAGAATATTTAGTCAAAAAGCTAACCCACAAACTTGGGTCTGCTTACCCACAGGTCAATGTAACTACTGTACCTTAACTCTTATATATAAAAAAAGAATCGTTCTCTGGTGAAAGTCAACAGCTTGTCCATCCTGGGAGTAACTAAAGTAAGTACCAGCTCCCTTTGTAAGGATGCTTCTGTCCTTTTTAGATGCCTGAGATGGGGAAATGACGGCAGCGACCATTGACACTGTTCCTTCTCCACAGAATGATTCTCAATGTATCTACAGGCCATATCAAAATCCATATTTTAGCCCACAAACCTGCCTTGTATATATACATGAGGTTGACTTATACATGAGTATATAGGGCAATGAAGAATTAATTGGACCATTCACTTTTTCTCCAAATAGAGGAATAATGGTTACTAAACAAGTTGTTATGATCTGGCCAGATTCATCAACTGAGTCTTTGAGTTCAGCTATTCTTTGTATCTTCATAGTTATTTAACACTCATAGAAGTGATGTTTTTTCTGGCAGGAAAAGAAGTGCAGAAGAGCACAATATGCAAACTATCTCTTTACTTCCAACTAGCCTTTCATCAAATCTTTTTACAAAAAAAGAAATGGCCAAATTTGTGACAATCAGGACCATAGCTCAAAGCCACTTACAAGAGGACATATTTTTAAGGACACTCTGATCAAAGGATGTGCCTTGAGTTGTCAATGGACTACAGTTCTCACAAATCCTGACTACTGATCATGACATTGGTGGTGGTGGGAATCAGAGTTCAATAACATCAAGATCAGTTTTTCCTAAATTTTGGTCTTCCAGGTGTTTTGGATTTCAACTCAGACTCCCTGAATTTAATTGGCAAGGGTAGCTGAGGCTTCCATGAGTTGAAATCTAAAACACCTGGATGACTAGAGTTTGGGGATCACTGATCTAGATGGCCACTGGTTCCCAGTCCTTGTCTTATACCCTGCAAGTATAAGGTGGCACATTTTGTTTATGTCGTCATATGCAGGGAAATGAATATTCCATCATGCTGAAGTAGTAGCACACATCCTGCTCATCAAGTCAAAACTGCTAGGAAATAACTTTTCTTAGCAGCTTGCTGCCTCTACAACTATAAGTTAAAATATCAGTAATCTCAGTATTCTGGCAACAGGCATGGAGACTTTCCATATCAGTGCCAGCCAGTTCCCAGAAGCCACACTTGTGGCTTGGGAATTCTCTCTGTCAGAAAGACAAGCTACAACAGTCCGGAAAATGTCATCACATTGAGGCAGTTTCCAGTACTTTCCACTTGAGCTTGCAAAATATGCATAACTATAGCTATGCTTGAGATCTTGGTTCATACATGCTAGGGAAAGGTGAATTTTATTTTACTTACTAATGAATTTCTTCTGAGGCACTGAAAAATAAAAGAAGAGCTTTGGGGAAAATCCTTCTCAGAGTATTATTTTCAGAAAGTGGCCAAGGTGGCTGGGGCATTCTGGTCAATAACCACCACCACGCAATTCTGCTAATATTCAGATACTAAACCCTATAATTACCAGGTCATTAGGCACTCTTAGCTACATGTGATTAGATGAGAAGAAAAACATTTCTTGGATATCATTAGTTCAACATGAACAAAACTATTTTCCCTTTAACTCAAAAACTAATCTGCTTGAACTGTGTTCTTGTTTTTTGTAGGTGGGAGGCTATTTCATAAGGAAGACCATTCTAAGCTGTTGCAAAGCAAATACACATGTACATTGTTTTCTTTGATTTGGTGGGAGCAAAGTACAAAAGACTGTCTTCATTTAGTTCCCATGTGCTCTCTGTGTTTAATCCAGTGACCCCTATTATATAAACATTACGATTTCCCCTAGCCAACTCTCAGCAAGCTGTGGAAGAAGAAACAAATGCAATCTCTTCAACAAGAATTGCTATCATTCACCTACAGAGTATTTGGTGACAGTGAGGATGGGTGCACAAAATGAGAAACATTCCAGCAGTACATGAAGTCAAGAAACTTGCCTAGTTTACAAAATGGTACATTGACGTCATGAACGAAGTGAGCTACAGCAACTGCAAGCAATTACCACACACAGGGTCTGCCAAGTTAACATTGTGCATAACACTTTTGCATGCACACATACAGTTTAAAATATCAACAGTATAATCAATAACAAAAGAGTTAACAGAAGTATACTTGTTACTTTTCAGCAGTAATTCAAAACAAACAAGAAACAAAAGGTCTATCCAAATATTATTCCTTTGGTGAAGTAAGTTAGTATAGTATTTGTTTTCTAATTCCATACAAAAAGAGAAATGGTACGTTAATTCAAGAAGAAAGGAAGCAAAGATATATACTGCACTATTATCTCCATTTACTAGATACAGTAATCACTTATCTCCAGTGACTAAAATTGATATTTTACGTGTGAAAAACTGTCCCATCAATCAGGGGGAAGAACAATAAAATTAAAAATGCATAACTAGTTTTGTGGAGTTATATATAGATGGGAAAAATAAACCAAGTAAAACTAGGAATTAAGGGTTTTTTAAAAGCATAGTACCTTCAGGACTACAGATAATGAACACGAGTAGAGTACTACTTGTCAAACAATGCAACAGAAAGAATGGCTCCTTACATAATTAAACAAAATTTAATTAACTACATTTTATCAACTAACTCAATGTTGAGAAGCGACTACGTGAAAAATGAACAACAATATTAGCATCTGCCAGCAAATAAGTCAGCCAAGTTCATTCATTTGAGATCACTACACGTTGTGTCACTCTGTGAGCCGAAGCACGTCTCAGAAACTTGAGATGTCCTGTTAAATCCCCACTATCTCCATTCCTACCCCGCTGTGCTGGGCGCAAATACAGTCTTCCCTACACCAGATGTTTCAAAGTATTACTACGTTTTCATATTAAAAATTGAAGCCCTCTCTCAGAAAAGTTTTGTAGAGATGAGAGAGAGATTAAAACTAAATCAGTTTCTGACTATTTCTGGTTTTAATTTTTTTTAGCCTGTTTGATCATTATGATTAGTGCAAACAGCACAGAACCATTCTAAGACTGTCTTCTGATATCATTCAGACTTTTCCAGCAGTAATCTTTACAATATTTCAGGAAGAAAAGCACTTTGGGTTAACTGGAAATCAGCCTTGTAATAATACATCTATCTCTCCTTAACCAAGCCTGCTCCCTATTCCAGGCTCTTTATTCCAGGTCCACTGAAAAGCAAAGGCACAGTGATGATAGATGATGAAAATACTATGGAAATACACAGATTATAATGTGTTTTAGACTATTCAATTATCATGGCAGAACTGAAGCAGTGTTGCACAAGACTATAAATTTAAAGGCAAGAGCAAATATAGAAGGAGAACACATATATGAATACAAAGCAAGTCATAAAGCTATATACTGTATTAACATAGGAAAACGTAAATTGATTCCCATTTTGTCTGAAAAAGACAAATAAACTCGGTTCCTAGAGCACTGATCTATGAACCAGTTCACAAAATGAAAGTAAAAAAATTAAATATGGCACCTCCTGCTTCTCCCAATATAGAGTTCTTCCAGATTAAAAGTTCTCAACACTATCAATCAAAGAATTGGGCAAGTGACTCCATTTTTATTTCTTTAGTGAATTTTTGATAGGAAAAAGAGATGGAGGCAATTGTGGAAGAACATTGTATCATTTGGACCCTATTTAAAATTCACCATTTTAAACATTGATTGCACAAGGAAAGGCTTTTCTTAGATTATCTCAAATAAAAACATTTTTAAGTAATAATTTCCTGAAGTACTTTTTCTCAGCTCTCCAAGCCTTTAAGAGCCTGTTTTCCACCTTTTAAGGGATGGGGATTATTTTTCCTTTACACCTTTATCCTATAGTACAAAATACATACATGAAAAATATATTAAATGTATTTTTAAATTTTACTGCATGCAGGGAGGCTTGAAAGCATGAGCCAAAGGATCATGGGAAAGGTATTGTGCTTGTTAAAAACCCACCTATACTTTAAAGATGTCTAGACTTACAACTGGAGTGAACTGAATTTTAAAGATTTTGTGGAAGAGTGAGATTTCCAGATCACTACAATCAGTATTTCTAAAATGAGGATAAAACTCATATTATTAGATTTTTTTAAAAAAAAATGCAGTTAACTAAATTAAATGTCCAGCATTATTTTTAATTTTAATCTATTACATTTGGCCCGGCCATTGGTTTTCAATGCTTGTGTGTTACTGTGATTTATTGTTTATTTTTTGTTTGTGACTTATATTAATTGTATTGCTTTGATTGTTTTGTTTTGCTTGTTTATTGATGTATTATGGGCTTGGCCTCATGTAAGCCACACCGAGTCCCTTGGGGAGATGGTAGCGGGGTACAAATAAAGTATTATTATTATTATTATTAACTAGAAAGGTAATGCATGGAACTGAACAGGCACCATAATATGGCTCAACCACTTAAAATGCCACAGCATGTGCCAAAAAAAACACCCCACAAAAGAGACAGACGAGCTGCACTGAAGGAATATAAATAAGATGAAACTATATGTCTCTTCTGCTTGTTTCAATAAAGCCATTTTTCCTGAGGGCCCAAAACAGATGGAAAAAACATAGAAAAATACTAAAGAAAGATTATTTGAATGTAATGTGCTCCATAAAAAGGAAGTGAAGAAAAACGTTAATTCTGACTAGGTATCTAGTGAGGAAGCACAAAAGTATTATGGGAGTAGGGGCATCTTAGAAGACCAAGAACCTTCCTAATCCAGAGTTTACCATATTAAAGTGATTGGGAAAACCTAACACTGTGTTCAGAAGGAGTAGAGAAAAGACCGATATTGTCAGGGGATAAAACTTACGCTGAAAGTTGTTCATGAAGCAAGCCTGGGCAACAATCATCCATTCCGCTCTAGTTTCACAGAAGATGGCAATATTTGTCTTTGGTAGCTGGCCCAACACAATTAATCCATCACCAAATTGTCTAGCTTTGTTGTAAACATCATCATATGAGAGCCAGTTGTATTTTCCAAGGATTACCTAATTTTAAAAAAATGAAGATTAAGAAAGAAACTCAGAAATTCAGCCTTCGTCTACATATTTTTCCTGTGCCCTTTCCCTCCCATGTTGCTTTCCTCCATCAAAATTTAGATTTCAATATTCTGAGAAAAGAAGCTGGCTTTATGCAAAATGCATGTGATAATAACATACATAAATAAATGAATAATGCAGTAATAAACAACAGACAACAAAAACAGAGGAATGGTTTCTTGTGATCTCAATTCAGTTTAAGTTGAACTTATTTCATTCACAAAGCATGAAAACTACATACACTATCTGGAGGAGCTACACAGATATAATTAATAGTAACTTAGTAATGCTGGCCAACCTGTCATTTTGTCAAAGGACTGAAGCTATTATTGCACAGAATCACGGTGTTGCTGCTAACATGTAGGCTGTTAGGAATTGTGGGAGTTGATGTCCAAAACACCTGGAGGGCCGAAGTTTGCCCATGCCTGATCTAGATTGAGGATTGCCTGATAACAATAACATAATATTTTGCATCAACCCTTAGGCACTGGTCCTCATTCCCTTCCCTTTGGTTGCCACTGAACATCATCATACAATCACAACATTAATTATGCCACAAATGCAGCCTTAAAAAGAAAAGACTCTTCAGGTAGGAGAAACAGAAAATTTTGGTGTCTAGTTACACACCAAAGACTGTCATACAGAGATTCCTATAGGCAAAAATCTTAAGCATTTAACAAAAGTGTGCATAAAAAGACCAATGCTGCCCTCCTGTGGGAGCTCCTTTTACAACAACAGAAATAAATTACCAATTGGCATATAGAAGTGGTTCGTAACCTGTGGGTCCCCAGATGTTTTGGCCTTCAATTCCAAAAAATCCTAACACCTGGTAAACTGGCTGGGGTTTCTGGGAGTTGTAGGTCAAAACATTTGGGGACCCAAAGGTTGAGAACCACTGGGCATATGGGAATCTATAAAGATTTGTACAGGCAGTACCCGAGTTACAAACATCCGATTTACAAACGACTCATGGCTATGAACGGGAGTGAGCCAACAGGAAGTGAGAGCTTTATTACCAGTCCTCGTTTCCACAACAAGCCACATTTCTCAAAATCCAATTATCACAGGGACAAAAAGCGAAGTGAAATCTTCTGAACAGGGGTACAGACAGCAAACCAAACACCACAGGGGTGTTCATCCTTCCCTGTGCTATCCAAAGCTAAAACATCTAATTTTTTGGCTGGAGTTACACTTGAAAATGTACCCATTACGACTTTCAAACAAAATCAACTCAAGAACAAACCTACAGGCCCGATCTTGTTCATAATGTGGGGACTGTCTAAACACATTTACTCCCAGTCGATCCCATCAAAGTCTGCAAGACTGAACTCCAGTGTGGTACAATCCTCTTCTGAGAACTTTAATTTCAATTCATAGGAGCAACACATATTTTAAAATCACTCACAGCATGTTTTACATTAAAAAAAACTAACATCCTTTTGGTATTAATTATTTATACACACACACACACAAGCTGTAATTCTACAACTAAAATTAAGCCCATCCCGAAATCAATGGACTTTAACTCTGAGCAGATACATATATGATTTACACAAATCTTCATGAAGATTTATATATCTGATTCTATTATTTCAGCATTTCACTGAAAAGTAGCTACCTCATATGGACATGCTAAACAGTTTGATATTTCACATCCAAAAAGGTCTATCAATTCTAGACACCTTCTTTTACAAAGTTCTTGTTGTTTTAAAACAAATAATTAATTTAAGAGGTTCAGAGGCACATCTGGTTCTTAAATATAGGTAAGGTTTTAAAAACTAAATCTAATCTGTTTTTATAACATAAAATGAAAACACATTCTCCCAGGGGTGGCCAGAAGATTATGTCTTTAGTCTTTCATCACTGGATTATTTGTGGTACAACAAAGAACTAAAAAGCTGGAAGTTACTCCAAAGGTTATCTACTCTAGCTTCCTTCCAAAACAAGAAATGTCAGTCAAAGCATGTATGACAGATCCAGTGACAGAATCTTCCACCTTCTTAAGTAGGATTTATGATTGCTCAATCAATGAAAGTACTATTCAGTAAGTTTTACTGACAAAATATGGTATTTAACATTCACCTCTTGTATAATACAAGTCATTCTAGAATAGTGATGAGAAACTGTGGCCAAACAAATATTGTTGAACTACCAATGCCATCATCTACTGACTATGCTTTCTAGGGATGATAGAAATTGTAGGACAATCCCTATTCTTGAGTGTTTCTCACACAGTGAAGTAGGGAAATAGTTTGTCCCAATGAATCAGTCTTTGCATTTGGTTCCTGATTGCAAACTTTCAAATCCTTGTAAAAAATATTGAAAGCCTAAAATCAGCCTTGGGCTGCTTTACATATATAATACTGCCATCTTATGGAACAAGAGAACAGCAATAAAGGCGCTTACTATAACAATTTTTCTCTAAAGGCTTACTGTATATACTCAAGTATAAGCCTAGTTTTTCAGCCCCTTTTTAGGCTGAAAAAGCTCCCCTCAGCTTGTACTCAAGTCAAAGTTATTTATTATTTGAGTGTTATTAGTATTATTTTTATTACATGTATTATTTTTATCTATTATTAATATTACATTTATTATCTTTATCTATTTATTGTTATTATTACATTTATTATTTTACTCCATTTATTATTATTATTATTATTATTATTACATTTATTATTTTACTCTGTTATTACATTTATTATTTTACTCGGTTTATTATTGTTATTATTACACTTATTATTTCACTCTATTATTATTACTGTATTATTATTTTTATTACATTTATTATTCTACTCTATTATTATTGGAAGGATACGTAAGCACATTTAAACTGAAGAAGGTTAGAATAATGGTTTAATCAGAGTTGGACAGCCTTATCTTAAATTGCAGTTTTATGTAAATATTCAAAAACATTTAACCTCCTGATGCCTCCATTCATGTAATCGTAACGGTATCAATACGTTTCCCCAGTTCTTTGTGGTAAAATTATGTGCCTCGATCTATATTCGGGTCAGCTTATACTTGAGTATATGGTATTTAAATTGACATTTTAATTTTATACTCTGGCCCTAGCAGTTTTGGGAGAACATTGCCCTGAACCCATCCCCTTTGGATTAGACTGGGCATGTAGAGTCCAAAATCAGATACCCGAAATCTTCAAGAGCATCTCAACATTATGCAGTCACAAACATAATATTTCCTTTCTGTAGGATCCTGGAATTTGTAGTCTGATGAGATACTCAGAATACTGTACCAGAGTACTGCTGATGTAGTGATAGTAATATCATCATCATCATTGTTATTATTATTCCCCACTTTTTCACTCCTCAAGAAGACTCAAAGTGGCTATGAACTAGAATTCTGAAGCAGGGAATTCAAAGTTCCTCATCATACTATGGATGGCCAGAGTTCCACTGGATGAAAGTGGAATTATTCACAATTATTCTAGAGTGCAGATACTAAATGACTGACGTATAACTGCAGGAAAGGAAAAAAATCGGCTCAGGGTTAGTAAGGGACAGAAGGAAATGCAGAACTCCCCACCCACCCCTGACCCTACTCAAAGTGAGATGGGAACTTTCCTACCAGCTACAGTTTGAACTTTATTCAGAATTTGCAACAAGGTTTCCCCCCCCCCCCCATGAACTCTAGGAAATCTTGTTTCCTAGAAGCTATTGTGCCTCATTGAGCAACCCTCTTGATCTTTTAGACTACAACCCCCAGAGTCTCTTACCACTGGTCATGCTAGCACATACTTCTGGAAGTTCAAAACATCTAGAAAAACGAAAAGCCCCCCCCCCACCCTGTCATAAAAAACAGAAATAAGACTGACAAGATGGAGGACATGTGGGATAATAAGACTCTTGGAAGCCCCAGTGGCTTGGACTCCACTTTTAGGTATCTAATGGTATAAAGCATCCATAACTTTAAAAAGATCCAGAGGACTTTCAAAAGGCCCTCCAGTGGATAATCTTTGAAAGCCTTTAATCATGTCATTCTCACCAACACCACTTTTTCCCTTATAAGAAAGTAAAATAAGCAGCTCTGTTTCTGTATTTCTCAGCTGTCTGGTAGTTTAATAACTTGCATAACAGAATAGCCTAAATCTCTCTAATACTGAACATTCATTCCACTAATTATCCCTAGAAAAGAAACTTACTAAGTAGATAAATTCCTAATCTGTGTGCAAAAGCCCAGTTTTCAAGCAGTAACAACTTGTTTTCAGTAACACTTTGGGACAACTAGGACATGGATCACATGCACTCATGATCAACAAATTTTGGCACGGCTCATGAGCTAGCCAATATTTACATTTGCTCACCATTCACTGAGCCACCCTTTCCCACAATTCTTCCTGCATGGGGAGGGAGCAAGAGGGAGAGAGAGGGAGCTTTTGCCAGACATCATGCCAAATGAAATATATCAATAGGGATTTATAAAATGCCAGAAATTCACAGTCCATATTTTCAGAACAGAAAAAAATCAGAGTTGGTCTGAACAAGTGGCCTTAGGGACATTTTTCCCCATAACCCTCTCCCCCAAATGTATTTTGCTTGGCAGAAATTAACGGGACTGCTAGTAAACAGAGACATGAAGAAAACAATGAAGTCAGAAGACAGAAACTGGTATATAACAGTTCATTTAAGAAATACTGAAGAAACTTCCCAATTTCTCAATCCAAATAATACTATTGAGTATAATTTAATATTTTATATTGATGTTACTGCACATTAATGTTAATTATGATAAACTATTACTCATGTACAACTTGTGAGAAGAATCTGATAGAGTCCCTTTCATATACAGACTATCCTAGAAGAGACAAAGCATCTCAAATGGCAACCTTGTGATCATAATATACTATCCTGTAAGAGTACATAATAGGCTATTTTCTATTTTTAATGTATTACCTACACACTTAATACCTGCAACACTTAAGATCCAAAATGGATTACTTTGCAAGGTCCATAGACAAATTGTCTGCCTTGGGATCCTTCAAGGCTGCAAAAATTGCTGAAAATGTATAACATTAAGCGAATGGGCCTTTTGTTAAAAATTAAGAAAGGAAGGGCAGAGCTGACAGCCTATTTGAATTGTGAATTGCAATTTCTGAATTCCTCTAGGAGAGCCAATTCACCCTTTTTGTAACAGAAAGAGCAATCTGGGGTAGTTTGAGGAATAAGGCAGGGGAGAATCAGCTACATAACCACAAGTGGCCCCAAGACCACATTTTTACCATCCACGGCTTAAGATCTTCAATGAATATAAAAATAAGACATTAAGCCAAGGGTGAGTAAATGTCACATTCAGCTTCCCCAGGCTTCCCCAACCCCCAATACTAAAGGGTGGGCAAAAAATAAAATAAAATAATGACATTTCCCTGTTTGGGAACTACTGACAATTTTGCCAAGTTTGGGAATATTCCCCCATGACCTTTTCAAAGGTCTTCCTCCAGACAAAAACAATAATTAGAATTCATGCTATAGCTATTTCTTCTTTTGAAGGATGGCTTGTATTAGCCAAAGGAAAGCAGAAAAATGAGAATTGCTGGCTTTTTTGGAGGGGAGGGGGAATACAATTTATTTTCCCCAGGGATTTGTGGAGGGAAATACCACCCCTGACCCCAGTATTCACTTCATATCCCCATCATTTTAATATGTCACTTCAGAAACAGAAAAGTAACATACCTTCTTAAAAACTTTTCCAGATGGCTGAATTTCATCTTCTTCCTTTAAGATTTCCCGTGTTCCCAGAAGTTCTTTGTCTTTAAATTTACTCCTAGCATACCTGAAAGCTTTGTCAAGTGTATCACATCCAGGATATAATACAGATGCTAAACAATGCAAACTGTTTACTGATCTATATGCATTTCCTGGCTTATTTTTCACAGGTTTAGCTTTGAGTTTCTTTGACTTGGTGATGGCATGTCTTGATCCAGAAAATAAATACCATGGAATAAACGTAATGACTGTGTACAGCCAGATCACAAAGTTTATAATGTGAAAGAGGAATGGATTAATATCATGCTTTAACTTCATTGTATCCATGTTTGAAGAATGAAAGCTTGATAAGTGTTATCACATAAGGATCCACAAAGTCCTGAAAAAAAAGGAAATGCATTGTCACATACTGATAGTCTTTTAAAAGTTGCTTTCTTTTTCAACAAATGTGGTTTTCAATATTTGTTGTCCTCCATATGTTTTGAACCTGGACTCTCAGAAACACTACAATCATAGCTAATGAGCAGAGATTCTTGGGGATACAAAGCACATGAAGAATCAAATGTATAGAACCACAATTTCAGCATACTTTTCATAAATGAGGAAAGGGAAACATCTATGAGGCACTTGGTTTTGAATCACAGCACCTTTAAAGATAGATCATTACCAGAACTTGGAAAGACATCAATTAGCTCACCAAAACTGGATTTGGGACTATCCCTGCACTTGAACGTGCCATGAAATGGATAGAACAACTGAATTCTACTCATCTATTCAAGTGTTTTGCTCAAATCCCAACACAAAATCTATGCAGTTCTGGTGTATCATGTATAACATGATGCTTTTTCATGATACAGTAGAGCCCTGATTATTAGACCTCCGCTCATCCGACATCCTGTATTATTCGACGCCATCATGTGGCGGATTGGAAACATTGCACCTTTGATATGTGGTCATAAGAACTGTTGGCTTTCTTTCCCTTCGCAAAAACTGGGGGGAGGAGGAGGAAAGTGCATCTTCAAAGGGAGGGGAGGGGAAGGGAGGGGAAGGAAGGGGAGGGGAGGGGAGGGGAGGGGGGTGAATCAAAAGAGGAAGAGAGGTGGGAGGGGAAAAAAAGAAGGGAGGGAAGAGGGGGAAAGGAAATGCGATGGCTCTCCTTCTCTCTCTGCTCTTGCTCTCCTGCTTTGGAGACTTTTCTCCAACCCAGCCTTGTTTCCAAATTGATGGGGCAGGGGGAGGAAGGGGGAAGAGAGAGAAAAAGCATCTGGAGCAAAGTGAGTGTGTGTGTGTGCAGGAAAAAAGGGGGGATCCTCTGCCCACCAAGGTGACGAGGCTTCTCTCCCCCTTTCCTAACCCCCCACCCCCCACCTGTGGCTGGAAGGAAAGGGGGAGAGAAGCCTCATCACCTTGGTGAGAGGAGGATCCCCCCCTTTCTTCCTGCACACACACTTTGCTCCAGATCCTCTCTCCCTCCCCTCCCTCTTCCTTCCCCTCCCCTCCCCTCCCCATGAGCTCTCTCTTCCTCCTCCTCCCTTTTACCTCTGGCATAGAATCCTAGAAACTCAAGAGGCCCCTTCCCTTAAGAGGCTATCCAGTCCAGCCCCATTCTGCTAGGCTGGAAGGCACAAGCCAGGCCCTCCCAACACAGAGGCACCCAGCTCCAGATGAGATTCTGGAGACGGTTGACCAATATTAGTGTTTAGCAGACTTTGGTTTTCCAGTGTTGCTATTCCTCTATACTCAATATGGGATTCTAGAGACTGTTACTCTATACCAGTGTGTTCCCAACTCTGGTCTTCCAGGTGTTTTGGATTTTAACCATAATGTTTTGGTGCTTAATTTTTAAACCCATAACGTAATTTAATGTCTAATAGGCTTTTCCTTTATCCCTCCTTATGATCCAACATTTTCGTTTATCCAGCGTTCTCCTGACCCTTTATGTTGGATAAGCGAGAATCCACTGTACTTAATTGTGTAGTTGTTAAAATATCTAACTAATTCTCAGAAGATGCTGCCAAGTAAGTTGAAGGAAGACAGGAATATGAATGATATATCAGTCACTCATATTGCCAGAAAACCCTTCTTTTCTTAAATAAAGTTCATTTTCCAAATTAGGAAATTATTCAGAACCACAAAGAACCAACTTGTTTACTTTGCTTACCAAGCCATTTTGCTATATATGATGTAGACCTCAAACATCTGTTTCATTTATTAGCATAACTTGCATTAACACCTTCTGCAGTATCTGTAAAAGAAATAGTATGGGTTCAGATATCTTTCTGATGGAAGATACTCTTCTTATAGATAATGTTATTATATTTGCAATGCTAAAACAAGCTTTACTGCAAAATACCATAAGCTATTTCAGTAAAACCTTTATAAATAAATTATATTGAAAATCATGACATTCCATTTACATATAAACAAATCTTACCATAATAGCTTTATTTATTTAAGTTACAATATTTAGCAAATGCAACTAACATTTCAGCATGTGCTCCTGAGTAAATAGCTTAAAAACTGGTACAGGCTATATCACAACACATGTTAAGTATGTCAACAGTCCAAATAGATACATAAAATTATTCTCATGGAAGCAAACTTGCTTCAAAAATAGCACACCTATGTTGAAAAAATGAAAATAACTTAACTAAATGTATGTACAAGTTCTGGGAAATGTATTAAGTGTTGCTAGGCTTGATCCCTATTACACAATATAATCTGTTACCTCATCTGTTACTTTCAGAGGTATGCTTGTTAATTGGGAAAGGGGAAAAAACACCCAGCAAAAATGTGTTTACCATCTGATCTGATAATCTTATGACGAACACTTGAACTGGAATAAAGCACAAAATGTCAAGTCAAAGCAACCTTAAATGACTTCTCATTGTTGTGGTTGGTATTGATGGGACAGAAGTCTCCACTTTCCTTAGCTGAAGTGGTCACAGGAAATACTGTAGGAACATAAAGGTGAAAAATTAAAACAAAATTAAGTAACTGCTTTAAAAAAACTGCTGCTCTTTAACATAAACATGCATAAGATTTCCAAGTTGCATTACAATAATCAAATACTTTTAAACAAAATAATAATTTTCATGGTTTTGAATGATTACACCTATTAATCCATTGAAATAAAGTTATTTTAACGGAATAATAGGCATTAAGGGAGAATCACGATAAGATAAAATAAAAAGCTATCTTCTGTGACTAAAGAAATTATACTTCAAATTGGTCCCAAGCAATAGGTCAATCCATACAATTACTGGATACACAAGAGCGACCACTATCATATGGTGGTTTCTAGCTAATGGGACATGAGAGAAGCCACCCACAGGATGGTAACACATTCAGGCATCCCCTGGGCAATATCCCTGCAGACGGGCAATTCTCTCACACCAGAAGCAACTTGCAGTTTCTCAAGTCGCTTCTGACACAATTTTTAAAAAGCTAATAGGGAATTCAGGTTTGGATTCTCCACAATGTATTTTTCCACCCCACAAGAACTTGATAAGCACAGTCTTCCTCACTATGCTGGGTCTACAAACAACAGCTACAGGATCTTTTATTGCACAAAACAACAGTGATGCACAAAAATTATAATACTCTGTATTCTGCAATCAGGGTGCATATAATTCTATATTAGCACATTAACTAGAAAGAATGCAAGAATTTGTGTGTTACTATACACCTGAGAATACAGGCAGTCACCAAGCTACAAACAAGGTTGAGTCTGTAGATTTGTTCTAAAGCTGAATTTATATGTAAGTCGGAACAGGTATAACTTGTAAGTAACTCCAGACAGACAGATAGATAGATATGCAAGCTTTAGATAGCACAGGGAAGGATGAACACCCCTGTGGTGTTTGTTTTAAACCAAATGTCGATCCTCAGCACTACAATAATGCCACACCTGTGCTAACTCACACTTGTGGAATCTACTACCTAGGTTAAGCATCCCCTATCTGGAATTCTGAAATCTAAAATATTCCCAAATCCAAAGCTAGTTCACAAGGGTGAGACCTTCACTTTCTAATGGGTCTGTGTACACAAACTTCGTGTCATGCACAAAATCATTTTAAAATATTGTATATAAAATTGGTCTAATCCTATGTCTATAAGGTGAGTGACCTTTATGTATAGACTTAAGTTCCATCACCAAGATATCTCATTATGTACGTATATGCAAATACAAGTATTCAGAATTCCCAATAATAATCCCAAACAGTTCTGGTCCCAACCTTTCGGACAAGGAGTACTCAACCTGTATTTGGCAGAGTCCGAAAGTTCCCACAATGTTGTTTTGCTCTGGGCCACTGTAAGAAATTAAATGGGCAACTTCAGGTCACCTAGCACAAAACGTAACTCCAAGCCAAATGGTACTTGTTACTACTAGACTTCACAAACAAATAAGCAAGCCCACTGAACTTTATGAGAAGAGAAAAAAAATCCCACCAGGAAACTAGTCTATAAAATCTGTAGCCAGACCTGGTTCAGCTGTACTAATCAGGGAGGCAAGGGTCAACAATCCAATGGATTCATAACCTAAATATTTTTATATGATTCTCACTTTGGCCAGAGACATTCCCCACATCTTATCCTTACTTGATATACAAACTGCACTCCATCTGGGACAATAAGAACTTAATTGTTGTAACACATGTTAAGCACTAGATGCAGGGATACCTTTGCAAAGTCTTCAGAAATTGAATCAGGCCACAACACAGAGGTCCAACTACTCACATCAATTACAGAAATCCTGATAGATCAGAGATTACTATCGGTTAAAGGATTCAACCTCAAAAGTGTTGACTGATCTTTGAAGTACTAGAATATAGATGATCTGGGCTCTGGACATTCAAAGAAGTGTGCCCTGTTGTATGTTTTTCTATTTCCCTTAAGATCACTCAAAGATACCTTGCTTTAGGTGTACATGCTATCTAAAACTCAGATTTAGAGCTTCTTTTGCGACCAGTCCTACAGATACCCCTTTCCAGAAAATCATGTCAAATCTTATTTCTCACAGCTTTCCCTCCTCAGAAACACACTTGCAGCACTTGCTGATTAGTTAGTTTTTAATGACTTTGTTTATATGAGCCATATGTAGCTTACAATAGTGCTATTTCAATGAATTAGTATATATTTTTCTGTTATTATGTTGTTGTTTGGCTTTATATTGTGCCACTGTTACCGAGTAGGATAAAAAAAATCTATCTAAATTCTTTATATAAAAAAATTAGATATGTACAGAAACATTTGATTATATAAATGTGAATCAGGTGGTGGGTCTCATATGTGTCTCATTATTTAACATCTACATGAAGCCGTTGGGAGAGATCATTCGGAGTTTCGGACTAAGATGCTATCTCTATGCAGATGACGTCCAAATCTGTCACTCCTTTTCTCCTGTCACTAAGGAGGCTGTCTGGACCTTGAACCGGTGTTTAGCTGCTGTGTCGGACTGGATGAGAGCTAACAAATTGAAACTAAATCCAGACAAGACAGAGGTCCTACTGGTCAGTCGTAAGGCCGAACAGGGTATAGGGATACAGCCTGTGTTGGACGAGGTTACACTCCCCCTGAAGACTCAGGTTCGCAGCTTGGGAGTGATCCTGGACTCATCGCTGAGCCTGGAACCCCAGGTCTCAGCGGTGGCCGGGAGAGCTTTCGCACAATTAAAACTTGTGCGCCAGCTGCGCCCGTACCTTGGGAAGTCGGATCTGGCCACGGTGGTCCACGCTCTTGTCACATCCCGGCTGGATTACTGCAACGCACTCTACGTGGGGTTGCCTTTAAAGACTGCTCGGAAACTTCAACTAGTCCAGCGAGAAGCAGCCAGATTGCTCACCGGAGCGGCGTACAGGGAGCTCACCACCCCCCTGTTGCGTCAGCTCCACTGGCTGCCGATCCAATTCCGAGCACAATTCAAAGTGCTGGTTTTGACCTACAAAACCCTATACGGTTCCGGCCCAGTGTATTTGTCCGAACGGATCTCCCTCTACGTCCCACCTCGAAGTTTAAGATCTTCTGGGGAGGCCCTGCTCTCGACCCCGCCAGCATCACAAGTGAGGCTGGCGGGGACAAGGAGCAGGGCCTTCTCAGTGGCGGCCCCCCGCCTGTGGAACGCACTTCCCGGGGAGATTAGATCGGCGACCTCCCTCCTAGCATTTAGGAAAAACCTAAAGACCTGGATGTGGGACCAAGCTTTTGGTCACTCTGATAATTAAATCAAGGACTGGCGGTAGATAATGAATAGAACGGATGTATGGACGCTGATATTTTGGACTCTGACATGAGATTGTTTTAGGATTTATGCTTTTATTATGTATTATTGTTTAACTTAATTGTTGATTTTAAATTTTTTGGACTAATTGTTGTGTGTTTGGGCATCTAATTGTGCCCTCTATGTAAGCCGCCCTGAGTCCCCCCAGGGGTGAGAAGGGCGGGGTATAAGTGAATGAAATAAATAAATAAATATGTTATAAGAAGTTCTTTATAAATTCTGTGTGAAGTAAAACAAATTAATCCCCTACAGCTATTATGAAATTACTATTTTAAAAGTTAGTAATGTAATCATAACTTGAATGACTCGTGATTAACCAGCATCAAATAAATAAAGATTAGCATCAAAAATAAGCCACATAAATGACAGCAGCAAACTAATTACAGAAGCATTTTTTTTACTCAATTAATGAAATTGAGGCAAACTGACAACACAGAGTGGTGAGGAGCATGACTTATGGTACTTAAATGCAACCAATTCTACATATGGTTAGGCTAACGGCACAGAAAATTAATGGAGGATACATCTATTAACGGCTATTAGCTGGAAGGATTGTACCTTTGAAAGCAATACATTTTAATACAACTATATTAATGACAAACCATAGAGTTTCCAGGGCAATTTCCTGGCCATTGTTACAAACAGTATGCTAGATTTATTTCAAAGGCAACCTTTTTTTTCCTGAACAGTATTTATTTCAGACTGCAAGTCAGTGTATTATGTTTACTAGACTTAAATGGTCCTCCCTCCTCAACCTCAAACCAATACATCTGAAATGCTCTCAATAACACTAAAATAGTAGAAGCTACAGCTTCATACAAAGCTGGCACATTAAAATTAAATACAAATTGTAACTGTCCAGACATGTGCTGCGGCATTTATTAAAAAAAACAAAAAACAAATATGCTATAATATACTCCAAATTTTATTGGACTTAACACTCTTGGCATCATATTTCACAAGTGATTAATTATCATGAAATCTGAATATTTTATTTTGGAATGTGGTGTCCAAATAATGGTATTACTACAAAGTTTAATTATTCACTTGAATCTAGCTCAACTAATGGGGTTATTTTGAGAATAAAGTTACACAGGCCATTCTACCATGTCAACACTTTTGAACACAGCAAGGCTAATTGTATTATAACAAACCAATTCAACTCATTAGCTTTTTAATCCATATTTACCATACAGTCATTCACTAAAAGGTTGATTTTACCACCTACGTTTGCATTTATGAAATAAGCAATTATATTTAAGTACTACAAAAGATGGTTTTTTCTGAACATAGTCATTATAGTTAACTGACTTTGGGGGGGGGGGGGAGCAGCAGTGTATGTAATGCAATGTTGATTTAGAACATCAAAACAAAGCAGTCCTGAAACACCTCTATGACTATATTAATTATAGTAATTCTATAATTGTAAAATATATTAATTAATATTATATTAATTTTAAATGTTTAATATATATTAATTTTTATTTTTATTTAATTTAAATTTTAATGTTTATTGGAACTGTATGTGTTCTAAGGCATTGAAGAGGTAGAGAAAGGCAGGATATAATTAGGGTGAATCAATAAATAAATAAATTACAGGATAAACTTTCTTGGATTGGAGAATCAAACCTTCTGCTAATCTTAAAGATGCCAAGACTCTTTGGTGAAGCAGAC